TCATCTTTGATAGTCGCTAAAACTGCAGTATGATAAAGCCAAGTAACTGGGAACCATTTAAAATAGTCTTGCAACGTCAAGTACCTATCGATGTCGGGAAGCCTATACCAATGACAGTTTTTCAAAATAAACATCCAAAAAACTGTGGTGATCCATGGATAGGCGCCTATTCAAAGCATGGATTTTGGTATAAATTTAGTTATGGTACTCAAACAGATTATGAAAAGGTAATTTGGTTGCACAGTCTGAAATTTTTTTGTGTTTTTATATAAGATAGATATTTTTGAACGAAAAAAGAGACAAGTTTCGACTGTTGGTATAACAGTTTAAGGAAGAATAAACTATTTGTCTGACTAACTGTTTCCAAGTTTTAAAATGTTAAACTGCTTCTTGTTCTCTTTTGTTTTAAGTTAAAAATTTCTAAGTTTTTATTGCAAGAACAATTGATAAATCTGCTGATCTTTTGACTTCTTCTTTCTTCTTCTTTTTATTTTTTTCTTTGTTTCTTTTTGCAGACAGTAGCGCTGTCGTTTGAAAGAGACGAATATTTTTTAAACTACGAGTCGTTTTCAACCTGGAAGAGCATCTTTGAAAAGCAGAATTTTCTGTATATTGTCGCCAAAAATCTCAGTAAATAATTCTAACCCATGTTAAATTTTTGCAAAAAAAAATTTTTTTTCTTAGTTTAGATATGTTAACCAACAAATTTGAGAGCAAAATTTATCAAAAAAATTGGAACATATGAAGTTACCGTTTTCAAATTGTTTGTTTCTTTACCAGCAACACCACCTTTTTTTTCTTGCTTTTTAAAGTATTAAACTTTGATAGTTTGCAGAAAATCACAAAGAAAATTTTTAACTATACGTACTAAATTATTTTAAATTTATAGGTAATAGTAAAGAACTAGTAAAACACCTGTTATAGTTATTAACCTTTTGTAGACTTTCATAACTGCTTTGTTATATGTAAAGTAGAAAAGAAGAAGTTTGAACAAACTTAAGGTTACTGTTTTGAATTAAAATTAAAGTTCCGTATAGCAAGCCAACTATTTAAAGTAAATAAAAGTTTCAAAATAGAGAACGTTTCAAGAATTAATAAATTTTTGATGAAATTATTATCAAGTAAGTTCAAAAAATTTCTGTTTTTTGTATTTCACAAAAATTGGTGTTGATTCTATTAACCAAACTGTTGTTTGATAGTGTACACAATGTTTCTCTTCTGTTCAATAAGCAATGATTATCAACAATTACAACAAAGTATTATCATTTATCAGAAGATGATATACTTGGCTCTGTGGCTTACGGTTGTTATGACAGTTATGCAGTAATTGGTGTCTACTATGTAACAGAAGAATATCGACATTCCGGAATTGGTGAAAAACTGTTTCGGGAAGTATTGAAACGACTGTCTGGAAAAAGTGTAATTTTTCATTCAAGTTAGTTGTCCTCTTTTTAGTTCGTTTCTGACTCCTTTTTTCGCAATATTGTTTTGTCATAAGTTTTATCTGATAGTATCTCAAAGGAAATTTTTAGCGAAAATAACAGAAATAAAACCAAAAAATTAAATAAAAAAATCAAAAACATGCTAAAAAAAGAGAAGAAGGAATCAATCTAAAAGCTGTTAGTGACGCATTAACAATGTTTTTAAACATTCGGAAATGATTGATCTTTGTGCTCAATGAAACTTTTTCGCTGAATCAATTTTCAAGGAAAATACTTATATAACATTTTATTTGCCTACTGTTACTTCCAATCGTAATTTTCACTTTTGATGGCGTCTTATAAAA